CAAAAAAGAAATCATTCGGGGATTAGAAAATACTTCAAGATGAATGAAAATGAAAATACAACATATCAAAACTCATGGGATGCAGCAAAAGCAGTACTAAGGGGGAAATTTATAGCTGTAAATGCTTACATTAAAAAATGAGAAAGGTCTCAAATTGAAAACCTAATTTTACAACTTGAGGAACTAGGAAAAGAAGAACAAAACAAACCGAAAGCTAGAGGAAGGAGGAAGTAATAAAGATTAGAGCAGAGATAAACAAAATAGGGACGAGAGAAGATAAATGAAACCACAACTTGGTTCTTTGAAAATATCAGCAAAATTGACAAATCTTTACCTAGATCAACTAAGAAAAAAAAGAGAAAACTTAAATTACCAAAATCAGAAATTAATAAAATTAACATTAACAGAAAGTAATTAATAGAATGAATGAATTCAGCAAAATAGCAGGATACAAAGTCATCACACAAAAATCAGTTGCATTTCTCTACACTAACAATAAAGAATCTGAAAAAGGAATTATGAAAACAATTCCATTTACAATAGCATCAAAAATAATAAAATACTTAGGAATTTACTTAACCAAAAAGGTGAAAGACTTGTATGATGAAAACTACAAAATGTCGCTGAAAGAAATTGAAGAAGGCATAAATAAATGGAAGCACATCCCATGTTCATGGATCAGAACACTTAATGTTGAGATGTCAATACTACCCAGAGTGACCTACAGATTCAACGCAATCCCTGTCGAAATCCCAATTATAGGGGCCAGCCCCGTGGCCGAATGGTTGGGTTGGCACACTTTGCTTCGGCGGCTCAGGGTTTCTCTGGTTAGGATCCCGGGCGCAGACATGCCACCGTTCACCAAGCCATGCCGAGGTGGTATCCCACATGCCACAACTAGAAGGACCCACAACTGAAAACATACAACTATGTACCGGGGGGCTTTGGGGAAAAGAAGTAAAAATTTTAAAAATCCCAATCATATTTTTTTCAGAAATCAAAAAACTCATCCTAAAATTCATATGGACTCTCAAGAGACCCTAAATAGCCATAACCATCTTGAAAAAGAAGACCAATGCTGGAGGATTCACATTTCCTGATTTCAAAACTTACAACAAAGCTATAATATTTAAAAAGAGTGATGCTGGCATAAAGTCAACTTATAGACCAATGTAATAAAGTAGAGTTCAGAAATAAATCCTCACATATCTGGTCAAATGATCTTCAACAAGGACGTCAAGATGATCCAGTGGCGAAAGGACAGTCTTTTCAACAAATGTTACTGGAAAAACTAGATATCCACATGCAAAAACATTAAGTTGGCCCCTTACCTAACAGCATATACAAAACTTAGCTCAAAATGGATCAAAGACCTAAATGTAAGACCTAAAGCTATAAAACTCTTAGAAGAAAACATAGGGCAAAATTTTCACAGCATTGAGTTTGGCATTGAGTCCTTGGCTATGACCTCAAAAGAAAAAATAGACAAATGGGACTTCATGAAAATTTTTTAAATTTTGTGCATCAAATGACACTATCAACAAAGCAAAAGGGCAACCCACGAAATGAGAGAAGATATTTGCAAATCCTATATCTAACAAGGGATTAATATCCAGAATATACAGAGAACTCCTAAAACTTAATTTAAAAAGACAAAACAACCCAATTCAAAACTGGACAAAGCACTTGAATATGGGGCTGGCCCGGTGGCCGAGTGGTTCAGTTTGCGCGCTCCGCTGCAGGCGGCCCAGTGTTTTGTTGGTTCGAATCCTGGGCGCGGACATGGTGCTGCTCATCAAACTACGCTGAGGCAGCGTCCCACACGCCACAACTAGAAGGACCCACAACGAAGAATATACAACTATGTACCGGGGTCTTTGGGGAGAAAAAGGAATAAAATAAAATAAAAATATCTTTAAAAAAAAAAAAAAGCACTTGAATAGACATTTCTCCAAAGAAGGTATACGAATGGCCAATGAGCACAGGAAAAGATGCCCAGCGTCACTAATCACTAGGCAAATGCAAATCGAAACTATAATTAGATACCACCTCACATTCAGTAGGACGGCTACTATTTAAAAAAAAAGCCAAAGCAGAAGATTACAAATGTTGGTGAGGATGTGGAGAAACTGGAACCCTTGTGCACTGTTGGCGGGAATGTAAAATGGTACAGCTGCTGTGGAAAACAGTATAGCAGTGCCTCGAGAAATTAAAAATAGATTGACCTCATGGTCCAGCAGTTCCTTCTCTGGGTATATATCCAAAGGAATTGAAAGCAGGGTCTCGAAGGGACATTTATACACCATGTTCACGGCAGCGTTATTCACAACAGCTAAAACACGGAAGTAACCCAAGTGTCCATTGACAGATGAACGGATAAGCAAAAAGTCATCTATACATAATGATGGAATATTATGCAACCTTTAAAAGGACGGAAATTCTGACATACGTTAACAAAACGGATGAACCTTGAAGATATTATCTTGACTAAGTGAAATAATCCTGTCACAAAAAGACAAATACTATAGGATTCCACTTATGTGAGGTACCCAGAGTCGTCAAACTCAGAGACAGAAGGCAGAATGGTGGCTGCCAGAGGTGGGAGTGGGGGATGGGGGTTAGCGTTTAATGGGACAGAGTTTCAGTTTTACAAGAGGCAAAGAGTTATGGAGATGGATGGCGGTGACGGTTGCGCAGCATTCTGAATGGATTTCATACCACTGAACTGAAAAAGGGTTAAGATGGTCAATTTTATGTTATGTGTATTTTACCACAATTTTAATAATTGGAAAACAAAAAAAGAAGCGGGCCAAGCAAGAGTATTCCTTTTAAATGGGTTTCCTGGAAGCCCACTCAGCCACTCCCGCTTACATCTCACTGGCCAGCACTGGGTCCCAATGTCCCACAGCTGCTCCTGGGGGAAAGATGGCTACAGAGAAAGGGGCAGGGTGGGGGCTGGGTCAGCCATATACAGCGTCTGCTACAAGAACTGGCCTGAAACTCAGACAAGCTGCCATGTCCTGCACCCCCTCACCTCACCCAGCTTCCCTCGGCCCCCCAAGCCCTCCCCGGTAGACTTCACACTCACACACCACGCAAATGCACACTCTGTCCTCTGTGTCTGCCCCCTTCAGCTCACTTAACCTCCGCATGATAATTCCTGTCTATTCGCCTGTGACCTGCGTCAGCACTGCCACCCCCAGGGCCCCCAGACTCCCCTAGACTTAGGGCGAAGGCGGCTCATCTCACATCAACCCTTTCAACAGTCTCACCCTCGCCTCCCTCCCTGGCCACCTCCTGCAGCTCCCGGGCTGTCTGTCCCCCTGACATAAGGCTGCCACTGCTGCCCGGTGGATTCAGGGACCACGGGGAGATGCGGACGAGGCCACGCTTCCCCGACCCGCCTGCCTCTTAATTCCCACGACCGCACCAACCCAGGTCTGCACACGTGCGGCAGACTTCACTGAAGAGTTGGAGATAACTGGGCGGAATCAGAACATTGGAGAAACATAAAAACTGGATCCTCTGTGTGATTGTCGCCAGAGCTCCAGGGAAAGGACAGAATTTAAATCCTCATGGGGTCTCTTTGCTTCTCTCTGGAGGCTTGTTTTCCTCCCTGTCGCCGAAGCACACACCCACCAGCCCACCCTCCCAGCGCCAATTTCTGTCCCCACCCTATGCCTCAGGGGTCTCGCCAGCACCACTCGTGGGACACAATCTCTAGCGGGGCGTGTTGGCCGGTGACTGAGGCCTTCAAGCTACAAGAGCCGTATGTGTTCGTTTTCTATTGCTGCAAGTTACCACCCAATGAGAGGCTTAAAACAACACAAATTTATTATCGTGCAGTTCTGGAGGTCAAAATTCCTACAAGTGAGGGTGTCAGCTGGGCTGTGTTCCCTCTGGAGGCTCCAGAAGAGAATCAATTTCCTTGCATTTTTCGGTTTCTAGATGCTGCACGCATTCCTCGGCTCATGGCCCCATCCTCCATCTCCAAAGCCAAAAGTGACTCAGACCACACCGGGAAGCCCCCGCCACACCTCCCGTCACCTCCCCACTACCATCCAGCCTGGGTTTGGTCACCCAGAGTGCACCGAATTTTTGCCTACACTGCTTTGGGGCCCGACTCTCAGTTCGTCATTTTTGGTCGCAGCTCCCCACTTCCTCCTCAGGGGAATGGAGCCCCAGCTGCTCATGTTGGGGGTAGATGAATAGAGAAGACGCTGCCCACTGCTCCCTTCAGGCAGAAGGAACCTAGGGCGAGCTGAGAGCATCCCGGGGCTCTGGGAACTGCACCCACTGGCCTGCTGATGACGCTCGGCCTCTCTGGGCCCTGTCCACACACAGCGAGGCCGTGCTCTGTGTGTGTGTGTGTGTTTCCCCTTTGCACCTCAGAACATTAGCAAAAAGAGAGAGGAAGTGTTTGGAATGACTCACATGCACATACACACACACACACACACACACACACAAATAATTAAAAATCAAAAGGAGACACCAGCCAGAGCAGTGCCTCTCCACCCTCTGATGGCCATTTACCCCGTGAAGAATCTTCTGAAAGCGATGGGCCCACATTTCAGAGAAAATTACTCAAAAGGCACAGTTGGGTTGTAATGTCAGTGGTCAAAAACCCTCGACTTAAGTGAAATCCAGCCCTTGTTTTTGACTGTCATTTACTTAAAACAGGTGAAAACATTGTGAAGAGTTGAAGGAGGATCCTTGAGATTCCGCACAGCGAGAGGGCGGGAGGCGGGTTCGGAGAGAGTCGGACTGTCGGCAGAGTTTAAAATCTCCAGACGAGCAAACTCTGCCGCGCTCTGCAGCGTGGAGACCATCAGCTGTGACTGTCCCTCTCCCACCCAATGGCAATGTCCCTCAGGATGTCCCCAACCCCTCGGATCCTCCAAACTTCTCTGTGCTCATTTGGGATCAAAGCCAGGAACTTTCCTTAATACAGGGTTGCACATGCATAGCAGGCATTGTTTAAATAACTTTTTCCTCTCTCAAGGTATTTTAAACTTTATTGTATCTCATATTAAAAATAAACTATCTAAGAGTCCAGAGGAACTGAGGACGCTGCCCACTGCTGGCTCTGGAGCCACAGATAAACCTCTCCTCTCTGGACTCAGTGTCCTTGTCTGTGAGGTGAGGGGGACCCATCTTCAGTGCCTCTGCCTTCTCCTGGCTCTCTCCCGGCTGTCCACTCCCCAGCGATCCCAGACACTTCCACGGGGCTGGGGTTTACAGAGCTATTCCTAGGTACCATCCTGCACGAGCCACATCTTTTCCTGGAGCCGTGAGGGACTGGGCTCCTGTCCTGCACGCACCGAGCTGGAAGGAACCAAAGAAAGCGAGGAAAGATGCAACAACACGGTGGGAGGGTTTCCCACAGGCCCCTCTGGAACCCCGTCCCCTCTCGCTCGTCCTCAATGAAGCCAGTTGGGCTGATGGTGCAAGAGGGACAGCCCGAGGGAGCCCAGAGGCCTTGTGGGTCACCACTGAGGAGGGCAGGCTGAAGGGGGCGTGGGTGAGGGTGGAGGGGGCAGGCCATGTGGCCCACAGAGACCTCCAGACGGCGAGGCCGGAGACGCAGGCTTATCTCTTCTTAATCACGCTGTACTCTGGCTCCTTCTCCGGCGACCTCTGGCAGGGAATCCTATGGGCCTCGGAACCCCGACTCCAGCCGTCAAACACCACGGAGCTGTAGTGAAGCTCTCCCCCCGAGGTTGCCTGCAGAGAGACCGGAGGCTCAGGAGAGGCGGAGGAAGGACGACGCCCAGCTTAGCATGGAGAGGGGGACCCCCAACGGGTCTTGGAGAGGCTCCACTGGGGGAACTCCAGCCTTCCCCACTGTCCTGGCCTCTTTCTCTCACAAAGACTGGGCTCTGAGACCCTGTCCACCCACCTGCTCCACCTGACCTGGTCAAGTCATGGCACAAAGGTCCAGGCATCACAGCCAGGGCCTCTCCTGGGTCCTGGGCCTGACCCAGGGTGTTCTACTCTGCAAAGAGGAGACTGAGGCCCCTAGAGGTTTACAGGAATTAGTGAGGCTCCCCCAACACAGCCTCTGTGCTCCTCTTGAGGAAATGTCCTGGGAACGAAGCAGCCCATGGGTCCCTTTTGAGGCCTCAGAGAAGTCTGCAGAGCACTGGTGGCCCTCCAGGTAGAGCCCAGACCGGCCCAGGGGCTCCTGCGTTGGCTCTGACGCTCTGTGACTAACTCACTGAGCTGTGGACACAAGGCCTGACTTGGACCATGGGGGCAGGCAGAAGAGAAGGACCAGGCCACAAATCACTCTGAGACCATGAGTCACCAAGCTAGAAAACCAAGCCATTGCTAGTCCCAGGGCCACACGGCTGTGTGGACATGAGCAAGTGTCACATGAGGAAGGAATCCAGTTAGTCCTTCGCAGGGAACCTTCAGACACTTGGCCAGGAGCCCTTAGAGTGTCACTAGGCTGTACCAGCTGCTCAGAGGCCCTGGTGAATGGCACCAGGCCCCTGGGCTCCCAGGCCACACCTCATCCTCACACACACGGTGGCCTGAGGTTGGGCAGGGGCAGGGCCTCCTGGGGACCCAGAAGGGATCCCGCATTCCGCCACATGGTGCAGGAGAAGGAGCCCAGGAGAATGATGCCAGGATGGACATATCCCAGGGAGTTGGGTCCCTTTTCCAGACAGACAGCAGCTCTGGTGACCTGTCACCCTGACACCAGCCCTCGATGGCATCACATAACGTATCTGAGATGGCTCAATTGGCTCACAGACCAGGGGGGCCTTGGAAGTCTCCCCATGCAGCTCCCTGTCTGATGCTTAAATCTCTCCCCTGTCTTCTCCACCACTCCCCCGGCCTCTGCCTGAACTCTTCCACTAATGGGTCTCGACACTGGGGGCAGCCTCTTCCATTATTCCACTTTACAGTGGCTGCACCTATGGGACGACCTACAAGATGTCTTTGATAAAAACCTGAAAAGCAGAGTTGATAGCAAAGAGATGTTGAGACCAAAATGGTGAGAAATCACAGGCTCTAACATTGGGTGTATAGTATACAGTAGGTGCTTAATAAATGCTGTACTTTATTGACTATCAGGACCATATTCCCTGGCTAGCCCAATAGCCCCTTCATCTCCCACCCCCCAGCCACAATGACACCAAGCCCTTCTAAGGATGTCTGCTCTGACAAAATCTTCACTTGCCCCATTTTCTGTGTGGCCCTGTCCTGCAGAGGCACAAGACCACCAAGCCAGCCCCTCACTTCCCTCTCTGCCTGCCGCCACCTTAAGATCCTCCCATGCTGGGAGCTGGGCTCTGGTACTCACCAACGTGCTGTACACCACCTCCGGCTGCCTTGGCCTCATGGGCTCTTCCCGAAGGGGACACATCTGCAGCTCCAGATTCTCATAGCAGGGCTCACTCTGTGGGGCAGCCTGAGGGGGCAGGATGTGCGGGGGCTCGGCAGCTGTCCGTGGAGCCCCTCTGTGGTCCAGCCCAGAGGGGCCTCTGCCTCTCTGCAGCCTTGCCACCCTGCCTCCCCCATCTCCCACTCTGGGCAGTATTTGAATGCTCCCCAGGTCAGTGGCCAGGCTGGGAGAACCCTCTCTCATTCCACTTTCCCTTGGGGGAGGGGACAGACTGGCCATGGCTCTCAACAAGACCCAGGGACCAGATCTCCCAGGGGTCATTCTTCCCACTCTGGGTGAGCACCCCTCTCCACGCATTGATGACCCATGCAGACCTCCACTGGCTGATGGGAATATCCAACCCCCAACATCTCTGTGCTCCCCCAGCCGCCCCGACACACCTCCTGCTGCAGCTCTTCTTACCTGACTGGGGGTCTGGGCTGGCTCTGGAGTCTCGCCAGCTAAAGATACAACAGGAGAGTAAGGAGGTTGAGTCCCAGAATAAAGGCAGGGATGGGATCCCTTCTACTTGTCTGGAGAAAGACCCTTTCCCTAGAGATTTCAGCCCTGAGGACCTTTCATTCAGGTCCGCAGCACGGCAGGGTCTCAAGGGTTTGTTAAATGGGTGAATTAGTGAATGAGGACATGAATGAATGAGTGAGCGAGTGAATAATCCAACAAGCAGGATGGCTCCAGCTTGGGGAGAGGGGCTGAAGAAAGCTAGTTCTCGAAACAGCCACTCATGAAAATGTCTCCAGGTGGGAGAAGACAGAAAGGAAAGACTCCCATTTAGGAAGACCTGACGGCGAGAAGAAAAAGTTCTGGAGAGCTCCTTCACAACAATGTGAATATACTTGACACTACTGAACGCTAAGCTTAAGAATGCTTAAGAGGGCAAATTTTAGGTGCTTTTGGCCACAATAAAAAAAATGTAGGGACTGGCCCGGCGGTGTAGTGGTTAAGTTCGTGCGCTCTCCTTCAGTGGCCCAGGGTTTGCAGGTTCAGATCCCAGGCGTGGACCTAAACACCACTCATCAAGCCAGGCTGTGACGGCGTCCCACACACAAAGTAGAGTTAGATTGGGGGCCAGCCTGGTGGCACAGAAATTAAGTTCACACATTCCGCTTCAGCAGGCTGGGGTTCCCTGGTTTGGATCCGGGGGGGGTGGACATATGCACTTCGGGTCAAGCCATGCTGTGGCAGGTGTTCCACATAAAATAGAGGAAGATGGGCATGGATGTTAGCTCAGGGCTAATCTTCCTCAAAAAAGAAGTAGAGGAAGATTGGCAACAGGTGTTAGCTCAGTGCCAATCTTACAAAAAAGAAAAAAAGTGTAGATCTGTAGGCCCAATCCCAGATGTATGGAATCAGAAATGCTGGGGATGGAGTTCAGCAATTTGTGTTTTAACAAGCCCTAAAGAAGTTGAAAAAGAAAAATAAGAACCTGTCCTTGCAGAGACCTAGCATGGCACCATCCATGAGAAGTCACCAGGGTTATCTGTTCCCACCCCTTGCCTGGGGGTCTGTCCCTCGCGGACAGGAGGCCCTGTCGTTCTGAGGGTCACAGCTCAGGCAGCACAGCCCCTTGCTTCTGGCACCTGCAGCGCTGCCCTGCAGGAGTCCCGGCTCCGAGCACCGCTCTGTGCACCCCTGGCCCTTCCAACCCAGGGCCCCAGGAGCAGGTGGGCAGCGGGCGATGCACACAACCTTGGTGTAGGTGTGTGGCCGGGCAACCCCAGAGTCCACTGCACTAGATGCCACAGGGAGAGACATTGCTCACCCCTCAAGGAACCCCAAAGTCAAAAGTGAGATGCCATAGTCAGGAGACACAAGTCCACATATGACAGAAGTGTGGGCTGAGCCCTATCAGTTGACTTAGCAGAACATGCCACCGGATGCTCTGAGGTGGGAACACATTCTGTTCCAAATGCCGCATGCAGGCTCCAGGCCACCCTCCCTCTCCTCGGCCCGGACGGCTGCTCTGATGAGAAGGAGGAACGAGGCTGGTGGGGAAGAGACGGGAGTCCACCGCCAGGGGAGGAACGCGGCATTGAGAAAGTTCGGCGGTAACCAGCTGGATGGGAAACTGGACTGAAGGTGGGACCAAGTCTACGCTGGTCCCAGGGCCTGGCGCACAGTAGGTGCTCAGGACAGCCTTGCTGTGCGAGCGAGGGAGTGAGTGGGCTGAGGGGAAGAGCTGTGAGCAGGTGTGAAGGGCGGGTGTCAGGCTGGGGTGAGAGGAGGCGGTCAAGATGCAGGATCTGAGACTTACAACGCTGGGGCGGGAGAGCCAGAGTTTTTGGACAGAAAGCCTTCCTCCTGTCACAGAGCATCAGTTAAACGTGGTAACCCCACGCCAGTGAACTCTGCCATCAGGGGCTTTTAGAAGAGCATTTAACAGCAGGGAAAGTCATACAATATGTTAAGCACAAAAAAGAATAGGCTTAAAAGAGGCATGATGGTATGAAGCAAACGTTCTAAGAAATCATATCTGCATCAGGAAAAGACCGGAAGTTCGCATCTCAAACATCAGTGGTTGGTTCTTTCTGGGGAGCAGGAGTTCATATATTACAGGGAATTCACTTCCTTCTTCTTTTTCGAATTTTCTACAGCAATCGCATATCCCCTTTTTATAGGGGGAGGCTTTCTAGGTGAAAGGGCACCACGGAGAACTTTGGGGCCCACAGATCTGAGGCAATCCGGGCTGGGAAAATCCCCCTGTGGTCAGCAGCGTCCACGCGGCCGAGGTGGAGAAGGAGCATGCCCAGAAGTGATCCGGGAAGGGCCGTGGGGAAGGGGAAGTGGTTTCCCTCCACCTGTCAATCACAGATGTGCTGAAGCTGATCTCTCTACGAAGGCCTGAGCTGTGCTGGGGGCAGAGGCTGGGCCCCATGGTGGGCTGGAGGTGAGAGTAAGGCCGTTGTCCCCCCGGCCCGGCCCCCAGCATCACTGGCTCCCGTGAGCGATGCAGCTGTGGGGGGAGCAGCCCTTTCTCCCCCCACCCCCATCTCACTGTAGCCTTTGGAAAATGGACAAACATCCCCCTGAGGACCCTCTGCTCTTGGAATCAAGAACTCTTAGCACAGGGTGAAACATAAGGCTCTCACTCCATCTCAGGCAGAAATCCACTCCCTGACAGCTCACAGCTGAGCCTCCAGCCAGCGACAAGAAGGCCACGACTTCACGCGCTCCTCTGTCCTTCTATTTATTTAATTCGCTCATCAGTGTTTATGGAGCTCCTATTTACTGAGTGCCAGACAGGGTGCTGGGCGCACCATACGAGCTCTCCCTTTTACTCTGAGCTCGGAGGGGAGCGCCTGGACCACAGGATGCCTGGAGCTCCCTGGGGTGCCCATTGTGGGTGGAGACAGTAATTAACACATTAATTCAACAAATACTGACTGTGCGCCTTCTCCAGTCATGGTCCCTGATCTCGAGGAGTTGCAGGGCTGTGGGGAAGCAGGCAAGGAAGCAGGCGGTGGCAATCCGGTGTGAAAAGGGCCATGGGGTACACCCAGGAGGAGCCCCCAAGCTACTCTGTGGGGGGCCAGGAAAAGGTCCCAGAGGAAAGGAAGTCTGAGGGCAGCCCTCGGGTCCCACCAGCAGTGAGCCCAGGAAACAGGGTGCCCAGAGCAGCCACAGAAGGGGAGACTGAGGTCACGGCTCTTGCCAAGTGACAAGAAGTTGGGAACGGCTGGTGTCATGGGCAGGAGGGGTGGGCAGGGCCAGATTGTGGAGGGTCTTGAGTGTCCTTAGGGGCCTGGACTTTTGAGGGTGTGGGAGGTCATGGAACGGTTTTAAACAGAAGAGGGGCACTGCTTCACGGGCATCCACCCCAGGCCCCACCATGGGGAAGGGCTCCTTCTAGGGAGCCGGCTCCCACAGCCTGTATCCGCCCTACCAGGGACCCCTCCTCTGGGGTCTTCCCTCTGGGGTCACCCAGGATATATGGTCTGAGGGTGTGCCTTCAATGCCCATCCTGGGGAACAAGGACACAGGGCCTCAAAGACCGGAGGGTGTGGTCAGGGCCTGTCCGTCCTGGGGGGCCGGGGGGAAACAGGGAGCTAACTCACCTTTGGCCCGTCTCTGAACCATCCTCCAGGCCAGCAGTGAGGTCCCCGCCAACAGAAGCAGCAGAACTGCCAACAGAGAGAGCAGCACTTGGAGCCTGGAGGGAAGACACAGGATGGGGTAGGTGGGGCAGGGCGTCCTGCCTTCCCTCCTTTGTTTCAAAGATAAGGCCACATTAAAGAAGCAGACAGTATAAAGTCTCCTTTCTACACATCCCCATCTACCCAATTTACCACAGATACACATACGCAGTATACTTAAGAACCTTCTAGAAGCTCTTTATTCAGATCCAAGGAAATATGAATGTACATCATTTTCCCCCTTTTTTCACACAAAGGAGGCACAGCATAAACCCTAGTTTTTTACTTAACAGTCCATCTTGGAGATCTTTCCACGTCAGTGCATAAAGAAGTCCCTCGCCCTTTTTTACAGCTGCATAGTATTCCATTGCATGAAGGGATCATAACTTATTGAACTCTTCCTTTTTAATGGGCATCCCCCTGAGTCTTTTGCAATTACAAATTTTGCTGCAAAACTTCCCCGTGTAGCTCCACCACTCCACACTTGGACGAGAAACAGCAGATTCACTGGGAAGCTGACATGGCTTAGGTTTCGGACCCCTCAGTTGCTCAGGCCGCTTCTTTCATGCCTAGTTTTCATTCATAACGTTCTGGTCTTTTCCTTAAAGGTGCCCCCCCCCCCTAAATTGCACAGGCTTCAGGCCCCACAAAACCTAGCTCTGACCCGCACGTGTGTATCTGCAGGCCGCTTCTGGAAGTGGCATGTTTGGGGCCTGAGTTTCACCTTCTCTGATATTAAGATTGTCACTCAGGTTGGTCAGAAGCCAGTGGATGGGCTTTTGGGGCAACATATGATAAAAAATCTGACTGGCCTTTGCACCTGGCTCCTGGGAGGGAGGCCCTAAATCCTAGGATTTTCTCTAGTAAAGGAGTGTCTTTGTTATTCATGTGTTCTGATGATCACAACCGAGTTTATGCTAAGAGATGAGATGACTCAGGATGGGGGCCAACCATGTGGTCAGAGATTTGGGGTCCTGAGGCAGCGTGACCTTCAGGAAGTGGAGGGGGCTGGAGACCGAGTTCAACCACATGGCCAATGATTCAATCAACCATGCCTGCATAAGGAAATCCAAAAAACCTCTGGACACCGAAGCTTGGGGGAGCTTCCTGCTGGGTGAACACAATGTCCCAGGAGGGTGCTGTCTCCTGACTCCCCCGGGAGAGGGCACGGAAGCTCTGCGCTCAGGACCCTCCCAGACCTTACCCTACGCGTCCCTTCACTTGGCTGGTCATGACCTTTATCCTTTATGATAAGACTGTAATTCTAAGTTTGGCACTTTCCTGCGTTCTGAGTTATCCAAACAATTACCAAACCCAAGGGATCATGGGAACCCGCAAATTTGTAGCCAACTGGTCAGAAATGTGGTGGCCTGGGGATCCCCAAAGTGCTCTGGCATCTGGAGTCAGGCAGTCTGTGGGCCTGAGCCCTTCACCTATGGGGTCCGAGCTAACCCCGGGTGGTCAGTGCCGGAACCAGGTGGGGTCAGAACAGGGAGTCGGTGAATCCCGGAAATGGTTTGTGACTGCGTGTATTTTTCTAGGAAGAGGGTGTACAAATGTCAGATTCTCCTGGGGTTTTGTGACCCATAAAGCTCAAGAATCACGAGTTTAGAAGGAAGAACCTAAGACTTGGGAATCACATAAAGCTGGGCTGGAAGCCCAGCCTGCCTCTCGTAGCTACACTACCTGGAAAATCACTTAACCTTTCCAAGCTCGGTTCACTCATCTGTAAAATGACGGCGGTGACGGCACAGGGTTGCAGCCGGGACCAAATGGGAACTCTCAGGTAAGGCCCTGAGCACAAGCCTGGTAGGACGTCATCAGCTTCACTAACTGTTACTTTCCTTCCATCCACCCCCAGCTTCTGCCCGGCTGAGCCCTCTCTCGGAGCCCAGGGCAGGTCCAGCGTGGCCTCAATAACCCAGGCAAAGAGACGGACACTGCGCTTCCAGCCTGGGCCTGGCCCAAAGCGAACCAGAGGCCTCCACCTAGCGCAGGGAGGAGGTGCCCGCCCTGATCTCCTCCCGAGGAGGGGGCCCCTCCAGGACACGGGGACTAGGATGCCTTACCCCCAGCCCTGGTTCTGCTGCAGTCCCTCCTGGCTGCTCCCGCTGAGGGTGGCGCTCACGGTGGCCGGGGTGGTGATGGTCGAGGTTGTGGTTACGGAGATACTTGTAGTTGGGGCTGACGTTGGCGCCGACTTTGGGGCTGATGTTGGGGCTGCTGCAGAAACACAAGTCAGAGCCAGGGATCTCTCTTCTGGCTCTCGCCAATCCATTTTAGTTTGATTTCACACAAAATGCTCACTCAGGAAAGAGCAGGATGGAGGACCCTGGGCCCAAAGTCTCCCCAGGACCTTCCTGGGCCAAGGGAGCATATCCAGACAGGACACTGGTACCACCCCCAACAGTCCTGATGCCACCCTGCCGAGGAGGTCAGGGCCCTCCAGAGGGCCCCTGAGTCACCTCAGCCCCCCAGTCTCCTCCCTCCCGCCACAGCCACATGCTGCCTGCCAGAGACGTCTGTCTACACTGCAGTTCTCCACCTGCCCCAGCAGCTCCGGCTTCTGTGGGGCTGACCCACAGCGCCCTCCTCTCTCCTCTCCCAGCTCTGCGCTCTCTGGCTCCCCTTGCCCGAGAAGCACCTTCCCATCCCTCAGACAGAGCGGAGGTGCAGCTCCTGCAGCAGGCATCAGGGCTCATTCACTCCCTTCCTCTCTCTCTCACACACTCACACACACACTCACACACACACTCATAGTTTGCTCCAAGTCTCTGATCTGATTGCTGCCTCGGCTATTCCCACTTGAGCCTCTTCAGGTGGCCCTTGTGCTGGTAGGAGGGGAGTGGGTGCGTACGGCTCACCTGGCACCACAGACACCTCAACCTGGAAGGTGGGCTCACGTAAAACTCTTTCAAACCACGATGTATCGATCCCACAGCAGTAAGATCCCGTGTCAGCCTCTGTGAGGCTCTCCAAGGTCACGGTGAAGGTGAGGTTTGCGGGGTGGTCCCTGATGGACACGCGGCCACGGCTCACTTCTCTCTCTGACTCTGTGGTCTCCACAATCTTCTTCCTCCACGGTGGCCACTTTGAGTTTCGGCACCAGTATTTTTTATGTTCTCTGTATTCCTCGTCATACCGACACTGCACACTCAGGGATCCCCCGATGGTGCCGGTCACAGTTCTGGGGCCACTCAGAGACAGAGAGCCTGGAAAATACAGGCGAGTCCCAGCTCCTCAGTGGATGGGCCTGGGTCTGGGGCACCCTGGGGGTCACCCCTCTCAAAATCCCCCCATCTCACATCACTGCCCCCATCAGCCAGATCACACCTTGAGTGCCCTCCCCTTCCTGTCTGTCACCCCCAAGACTTTGACCACAGCAGCCCCTTCCTCCGGACCCCAACCTCCCTTCCTGCTGCCCTTCCCGCCCCTCACTGAGCCCTCCCACGTCCACGCTTGCCCGGACCATAAGAACTCGCCCCCAAGCACCCTACTCTCCCCTCCCCCACGGGCCCCCCCCCAAGCCCTGAGCATCTCAGGATTGTGAGGAACGGCTCACAAACTGTCTGTCCCACCAAGGGGGTACGAACAGGGCAGAAAGAGGGCTGCCACGAGTTCACAAAAACACTGGACACGCTTAGTAAATTTTGTGGATAAAAAGTCATTCCCACACACAAAAAGTTGACTGATAACAGGCCTCATTTCTTCCCGGGTCTTACTTCCGTTTGCCCAGCTCCTGTAGCCTTAATTTTCAAGGAAGGTCGTTCTTTATTTCCAAGATTTATGTCTGCATTTTCCCAAACGTCCTCAGAGGAGGAACTGGGAGAGAAAGGTGAGCGTGAAGCTGACATTGGCCACCAAGCGGAGGACACACTGCCCCGGGCGCTGTGCGCACAGCCCCTTGCCGCCCTCATGATTCTGTGGTCAGGCCCCCAAATTGGCATGTGGGGGAGCTGTGGCTGGCTCTCTTTTCCTAGAGTTAGGACTCCTTAATTTTACTTGCTTTTCCAGGTTCTTAAATCCTTCACTTGAAGACTCTGAGACCTCTCAAATGTGGCTCCAGGAGGGCAGGGGCCTCCTTCTCGTATCTTCCGTGTCCACAAGTGCCTGGTGCGTAGTAGGCCCTCAATAAATACTTCATCGTGAGCCCCTCCTCTACCCCATCCAGGCTCTTTGTCCACAGCTGCCCAAAGCTGGCCACAAGCTCCCATCAGTCCCTCTCCCAGGGGCCCAACAAGACCTCCTCTCCTGGCCTGAGCGTTCAGATGTCCTGCAGACAAGGCCTCCCCAAGCCTGCCACACGTGTTACTGAGATCACTAGCAATTGCCAAGGCGAAGTGGAAAGGACATCAGAAGAAGCTGGGTTTATGCCTCAGTGCTATTACACATCAGCTGTGTGTTCTGAGACACGTTACACAACTTCTCTAAACTTCGGATGCCTCATCTGTAAAGTCGTGATAATTTATAGGCCTCACATGGTATTTGGGGGCATTGAATGAAATAATGGGTGTAAAATGCCTGGCAAATAACATTCGGTTAAACCATATGAAATTGCTGATATTCAACTATTTTTGACCAAGAAAACAGGAATTTTATAAGATTCAATCTAATAAAAGTAGATAGCCCTCTGTCTAGCCAAATTCAGAAATGAAAAGAGAAAATAACCACAGATACAGAGAAAATGGAAAGAATTGAGATGGTACTTTGCAGAAATTCTCTCCAGGGAAATGTGTGAAGCTGGATGAATTGTGATTTTCTAGAAAAATATAAACCACTACAATTGACACATCTCAAACACTTAATACCTAAATGTCTGTTCCAGCCTTCCTTCACTCCAGATGCTGTTGTTGGTCCCCACGTCCTAACGTAATTCCCTCCCTCTCCTCAGCTGTGAATTATCCTTCTCTGCCCGGGTCTTGGCTCCCTTCCCTGATCTGGGCGACCCCATCACGCCCACCCAGACCACCCTTCCTGTCTGTCTCCAGTGTCACTTCCCTTTACGTGCTCTCTCTGTCTCTCTCTCTGTCTGTCTGTCTGTCTCTCTCTCTGTTTCTCTCTGTCTCTCTGTCCTTTTCTCTGTCTCTTTTTCTCTCTCTTTCTCTCTCTCTCTCCCGGTGTCTGTCTGTCCGTCTCCCTCTGTCTCTCTCTCTCTGCTTCTTTCTCTTTCTCTTTCTGTTTTTCCATCTCTCTCTCTGTCTCTCTCTCCTGACTCACTTTTCTCCTCTTAGCAACAACAAAAATAAACCACCCTTTTGAGGACATCCCACAACTGAAATCTTGGGTGAAAAAATGTCACCATTTCTGCCAAAAGATTCTGCACCTGTGAAGGTGACATTATAACTTAGAGATGGGGGTGGGGGGAGGGTCAGAAAACCTTCAGCTTACTCCCCCCACTGACCTGGAACGATAACACTTACGTACAACCCTCCCCATTTTGCTCCTCTCTGCCTTCACGGGTCCAACACCTATCAGCCCTGCTGGCCAGAAACACAGGAGACCGGAGACCACCCAGGCCGTGGCCGGGGGCCTCACTGTTTCCAAACATCTTCTACCAGGATGTGCCTCTGTTGTCCTAACATTTTCCTTTAGGATCACAAAGTCTCAGCCCACTGAATCCCAGATAAAGGAACCAATCCCCAACTCAAGGAGTCAGGAGAGGAACAGGTGCGTACACACCCAACCCAGGAGGAAAGAAAGAGTAAAGCCAAGGCAGGAATCGGCGAATTAGGAAACAGAAGAACAGCGGAATTAGTACGTACATTAAAAAACTGATTTTTCTTCTGGGAGAGACAGACAATAAAACAGACATTCTGGTGGGTGGCCAAATCAAGAAAAAGGGAGAAGCTACACCCACACGATTAAAGAGAAAAACAACCAGGATAATTTTCAAGTCTCTACAAATGAGCCTGTAAACTTAGATGAAACTCATGATTTTCTAGGAAAATATAAGTTGCCAATCTTGGCCCAGAATAGAGTTTTTAACGTAGACCAATAACGATGAGTGATATCAGACAGTCCTTTCCCAGCGCTGACTATGTGAGGTGACGTGGTCATTGTGTCACAATGTAGACGTATATCAAAACATCACGTGTACACCAGAAACATACACAATTGTTGTTTGTTAATTATACCCCAATAAAACTGGTGGAAAAATGCAAAAAAAAAAAAAGATTTATTTCCCTTTCGAGAAAAAAAAGGAGTCAAACCCAGACAGTTTCACAAGCTAGTTCTCTCAAACCTTCAAGGAACAAACAATTCCAGTTTTATTTAAGCATTTGCAGAGAATATAGAAAGAGGAAAACCTCCCTAATTCTTTTTGTGAAGTCAGCTTAGTATCAAGACTAAAATTGGGCCAAATCTCTTTTTTTTGGTGAGGAAGATTGTTGCTGAGCTAACATCTCTTGCTAATCTTCCTCTATCTTGTGTGGGATGCCACCACAGTGTGGCTTGACCAGCGGTGCTAGATCTGTACTGGGGATCTGAACCTGCGAAGCCAGGGCGCACGAAGCAGAGTGCGCCAAATTAACCACTGCACCACCATGCGGGCCCTGGGACGAATCTCTTAATATAATTCACCACCTTAATAGTTCAGACAGGGGACTAGAGACAGACAGGGGAAAGGAACCGAGAGCTCAGTGAGGGCAGATCCCATGAAAACACAAGAAAACCCAAGAAGTCAGTAGACAAATGAATGGGGAGAGGATGACCAGTTTCCAAATTAATACACAGAAAGCCATAGCTTTCCTATAAACAATTGGTTAGCAAAAGAATCAAAGAAAACACGCAATTTATAAGCAAAACAACCAAAAAGATTTAAAGTATCCTAGGAATAAACCCAATCAGACTGTAGGACCTGACTGGGTAGAGCCGTGAACACTATTGAGAGGCACGGTGGATAAATTCCCCTAATGGACGAATAGGAGGGTTTATCTTCTCCCTGGAGAAAGTTTCTCTGCCCTCTGCTTCCTTCTCACCCCCTTCCTCTCCCCACTGTCCCCATCTCCCTTTCTTGGACATGACTGACCCCCTGGCACCCAGGCCCCCATCCCCTGAGCTGCCCTGGCCGTACACCTCCATGTCCCTGAGACCATGGCTCTCCAGTCCCCATGCTTCCTCTACACCCTGCCTGGGATGTGTGACCCTCAAGGGAGCCTCCTGTCAAAACATAGGCCCTTCGGCGCGCTCAGCGGCAGCCACCCTCCCACCCACTCTGCTGCGTCCTGCCTCTCAACCTCTTTCCTCCTGCAATAATTCTCCCACAAAGCCCCTCCTCCACGCCCCACGGTGGCTCATCTAAGTTCAAGCTGACGCAGAAGGAGAGACAGACCCTCGCCCCTTCCCCTCCCGGGGCTCTGGTCCTTCTGTCTGTCCATCTTACCTGGTGGACAGAGCGCCCCCCGTTCCGAGTTCTGTACGGAGTCCAAAGTCAGGATGCTTCACGTAACATCTCCCCTGCGGCAGGCCCTGTCTCTCAAACCCCCCCTCCCACCCACCGACCCGCCCCCGGCAGAGTTTTAGTCCAGGGCAGCCCCTCACCTGGGACCCAGAGAAGCAGCAAAGCTAAAGGCAGCCACACAGCCCGGGACTGCTGGGTCATCTCTCCAGCACAGATGTCATCTGCAATTGCGCCAGACCCCAGCTGGACCCAATGTTTCAGTCCCCTCAAGGAGGAGGGCCAAGTGTCTGTGGCTCCCGCTTCTGCTTTTCTTTGTGCCGCGCTGCTTCCTGGTTCAGCTTCTTTTTGATTCTGCTCCTAGAGCTGGTCAGAAAATGGAAACACGGGGGGAGGCAGAGCTGCCAGTGGCCAGGGCCCCCGGGTCTGTGCACTTCTACTTAACCCTGAGTGAGCCACAGTTTCCGTGGATATTTCCAGCGAGGGGACCACCCCCTCCTCCCCAACGGCTCCCAGACCTGTGCCTCCCCCTCTCTCACATCCCCCAAGACCACAGGGCCAACATTCCTTCTAGGCAGGCCCAATAACTCCTCCTACTTCCTTGTGGTCCCCATGTTTTGGTAAACGTCAGGTGTCTCCTTTTGAAATAATAACAGGATGACCTGTGCAATTAAATGTAGGAATGTAACAACAAATTTTACTTAAGAGGGACATATTACACTATTGTCAGGGTCTCGTTAAGGCACTTAGAAAAATGAAAAGTTGGTAACCAATTCCCTCGACAGTGAGCTCCCAGGAGATGAAGACCTCAAGGATCGGGGACTACAACCTGGGAACTTTGCTTATTGGAAAAGGCATCAGATAAAGACTTTGCTACCCCGTTGGAAAGACCCTTATCAGCGATTATTGACTAATCCACGTGCTGCAAAATTAAACGGAGTAAACCCAGGGATTCATGTAAAAACGTCCCCTCCACCTGAGTGGACTTCAATTCCTGTTGCTGATATTTGGCTCCAAGTGACTAAAACAAACACCCCAAAACCAGGATGAGAAGAAGATGACAAATCCCAAGATTAGCAAGACCTGAGACACAGGACCAGGCCAGAGTTCCCAATGTTACGTCTTCCCCATTTAAATCCTTGGAATGCACAAATCATGTATCTACATGATAACGGCTGCGATAATCACCCTCCTGAGGCCATGAGCAACTCCGGTCTTCTCACGTGATGGAGATCGCCTTCCTTCTGTTTTCAGTTGCCTTCTTAATATCCTTTACTGCCCTATTGACCATTTCCACCTCATACTTCATGCCTTGTTTTCACCGCCTCTAAATTTCATGTAAAATAAGCTAGAACCTCATCATGAAATTCAGCTCTAATAATCCTTTCCTAATAACTATCTAAAATTGTTTAACTAAATTGCCCATTAATTAACGACAAAATGTCTGGGATCTGGACGAGTGCTGCCTCATGGTGCTTATACAATGAGCCACATCCACTTCGCATAGCCTATCTCACTCTTTAGTCCCAACTCTACAGAAACTCTCTGAGAGCCAGCCTTACCAATTGCTGGACATGTGCAAGGGCAAACCACACGCACGATATTCCTGACCCGGCAGCATGGCCTCTATCGTTAGAAGGTTGGAGGAATCTAACCAGAAAAGACGTAGAGTTTTCCTATGGCATTTTTGAAAATATCTATCAGTGGCCCTCTGGAAAACAAGCCCCGGATATTAATTCACTTCTTTGGACCCCTCCAGCTTACCGGGGTGTCTGTCTCACCTGAATTTTGGTAATCACCCATAATCTTTCCTTGTGCGTTGAAAACTTAAATGGCACTGGAAAAACTCCGGGTTATTTACCACTTATTTAATATTTGTAACTTCACCCTTCTCTACGATTGCACTGATCATGAATTCACACCTCGCTGGGGTTCAGAAAACCATTATGATGTTGCTTCCCTTGATGTGTCTTTATGGTGGAGAGACTCCCAGAATAATGGAACTGGCAATTGGGAATCTGACATATTCCCTTTAATGGGCACCCATTGGAGTATAGATCAAAAATCAGGAGAATGGTGGAAATTAAGTAAAAACTATAATAGCCTTAATGACACTCAACAATTGACAACAAAATTCAACCAGCTGAAATCAATCTCATCTTTTGCTTCAAAGTTGTAGAAAATTTCGCTGTTCCTATAACCATTGTCACAACACTACTAGTCCTAACTACTGTGTCCTCTGTGGGAAAGATTACATTTCTGCCCATAAGATTCCCTCTTTTTTTTTATTCTTTTTTTTTTTTTGAGGAAGATTAGCCCTGAGCTAACATCTGCCACCAATCCTCCTCTTTTTGCTGAGGAAGACTGGCCCTGGGCTAACATCTGTGCCCATCTTTCTCTACTTTATATGTGGGACGCCTACCACAGCATGGCGTGCCAAGCTGTGCCATGTCTGCACTGGGGATCCGAACAGGCGAACTCCAGGCTGCCAAAGCAGAACGTGTGCACTTAACTGCTGCACCACTGGGCCGGCCAGAAGATTCCCTCTTTGGAACCTAACAAGAGAGTCTGGGCACAGGGACCCACTTATGCCTTATCTCTCGAAAACACTGGATACATTTTTCTGTGTGGCTCCAATATTTTTTCCACTCTCTCCATTTCCTAGAAAGGATGAAGTGGAATAGTAGCACTCACCCCTGATGCTGCCATTAGAAAAAAATCTTGGGGCTGGCACTGTGGCATAGTGGTTGAGTTCGCGTGCTCTGCTTTGGCAGCCTGAGGTTCACAGGTTCGGATCCCAGGCGTGGACCTAGCACCACTCATCAAGCCATGCTGTGGCAGCATCCCACATAAAATAGAGGAAGATTTGCACAGATGTTAGCTCAAGGCCAATCTTCCTCAAGCAAAAAAAAAAGAGAGAGAAAGATTGGTAACAGATGTTGGCTCAGGACCAATCTTCCTCACAAAAACCAAAAACAAAAACAAAAAACCTTCCCTCCACTGCTCATATCCCAAATCTCAGTGCATTCTCATATCAACTCAAGAGAGGTGAAAGAAACTATGACCTTCAGGGACATCCTACAGACAACCCAATTATAGCTAAAACAGGAATGGGCTATGACTCTGCTAGAGCATTATTTCCCACTTATGGGGTAATTGACCTTGAAAAGGCCTTTTGTAACCTCTCCCTCGTGACGGCTTCAACCTTCAATGCCACCCAGCAAGCTATCGAATATCAACAGAGCCAAATGGACGGTCTGGCAGCAGTCGTCCATCTAAGTCGAGGAGCTCTTGACATCCTGGCTGCTCAACAAGGGGGCACTTGTGCATTCCTGGGAGAAGAATGTGGCTTCTATGTAAATGAGTTTGGTCGCTTAAAACAAGAGCTAAAGGTCATGAAAGATACCATAAATCCTCAACAACATAGGTCACACTGCTGGCCTCCTAGACCACTTTGACCTGTTTGGTTGGTTACCCTCTGGGCTCGGAGCTATTTTGAGATCAGAGTTGCAGGCCTTCTAATGATTATTGCTCTGATTTGTTCAAACTTTGCCACCTTTAACCTGGTAATGATTTGCATTTCATGATGCTGTACGTCTGTCTCTGCTGCTAGAGTGATGGTTGCTCAGCGACTTGAGATGATTGATCAATCTTGCAACTCTGAGCAAAGAAAGGACTTGATTCTTTTCACAAAAATTGTGTGTAACACTAGTTTCCTGACTGCCTCCTTATTGCTCAGATGTGGCCACTTCAAATATTATTGATTGGTTTCTTATTACTGTTACTATGGTTGTTCTATAAACGTTATAAACAATGTTATTGTAGAAGGTCATAGAAAAGCACATGTACAATATTTGTGAAACAATTTGACTTAATTGAAAGTATATATCACCCATAAATATGCTTCCCCTGTCAGTGCATACTTCTATGATTATCAGTTATATTTGACTATTTACCCCAATGTGGATAACTGGGCAAGTCAATTAAAATAAAGCCCAGCTCCAAGGGACATGATGGACTCGGGGCAGGCAGCAATCACCCTGGCATCAAGGGACAATTTTCTGATCATCAATGCTTTCTATCAAAAGATTATTGATCAAAAGGGTAAAATGATATAAGAAAATGGTATATATTGAGGTGTATGGGAAAACCATACTGCTTTAAACTTGATTTGGCCTAAATTTTATTTGAACCAAAGAAGCCACACTTACAGCCTGTTAAACATACACTGTACATCTGCTTTAATCAATATCCTAAAGTAAAGACTGTTCTCTCTGAAGATAAGAATTGATGCCTCCCTTCTCGTGAGGCCAATACTCTTTGAAGATAAGTCTCCCTTCTCATGATACCAGAGTCTGTTGACCCACTATGTACATGCTAACCTGGAACAAAATATCTCTGTGAACGCTTGAAAGAATGTACTCATCATGTTGATGGATGTCTCTTTGTGCTGAAAACCGCTCTTGTCCGGAGCACTTTCTTCCCTTGCAAAGACTGCGACTCCTGGGCTATAGTCCTCAGTTTGACTCGAATAGAACTCTCTTCTTTTCTTTTGCAATAGAATGATTGTTGATTACTCACGGGGACAAGGCATTGCCATGGTCTTGAATGTCAAGGCCAAAAGAGGGACGCAGCAGACCGAAAAGCAGGAGGCTGGGTTCTCCTGTGGCTCGTCCACTTACCTCCAGCGTGACCTTGAGCAAAACCTGTGCCTCCTGTAAAATGTCCATAATAATAGCTCCTTTGTGGGAATAAAACATGTAATATTTATAAAAATATTCAAACGTGAGACAATGATGTCCTCAGGCCAATTTTTTCCTAAGGGCATGCATCTTTACTTTAATGAAAGGCACAGGAAAAGAGGGTTGGCTAGGGAGAGGGATGCTGTGCAAACAGCCTCTGGGGTGTGATTCTCCTTAGGAACGGAGAAACACCCCAACAACTGGGGAGAGGAAAGGGCCAGGGGAATTGATCCCATCACATCATCCTGCTCGCCCCAACCGGCCCACAGACACCAAGGAAGAAACAAAACGATGCAAAATTGCTCCATGATGTCAGAAAATTACGGAAGGGCTCTTTCCCGGCGGCTCCCTAATAACCACCAGCAGATGTGACACGGGGCAGATCAAACCCGACGGCGGAGCCCCCTTCTCAGGCGGGGTCCTGCAACCGCTAAACCTCTCCTCAGGTCCGGAGCCTCTTCCCAGGGTGGACGCATGTGCTCGGAGGCCGGTGGGGAGCAGTGTGGACGGTGGCGGGGGAGGGCTGTCTGGGCAGACTTGCTCCAGCAGCACTGAGTCCTGCAAACTGTAGGGGCCCCAGAAAAGATCTGGAAGTGGTTGAGCTGTAGGGCTCTCAGCAGAACTTCCCTCTCCAAGGCAGCAGGGTCTCAGAGCCGCCCTCTCCCCAGGGCAGGGTGCGGCTCCCCATCTGCTCTGCCTCTTCCTCAGGCGATGGGGCTTCAGGGTGTGCCTTGTCCCCTGTGGGTGCGGCCAAGGGGCCAAGAGGCTGGGCACCGAGGGCTGAGAAGCAGGAGGTAGCCCGCACAGCTGTGGCTGCAGAAGGAGGAAGAACTTGACAGCCTGGTGAGCTGGTGATGAGAGGGGAGGGGAGGAACCGGAACCGTGGTGGTTTCGTCGGGGTGCGGTTAAAAGATGCAAGATCCTTGAGGTTAAAAGATGCAAGATCCTTGAGGCAAAGGGACCGGCTCTGAATGAGAAGCAGTTGGGGAAGGGAGGTGGGAAAGGAGGGCGGAGCACTGGGAGCGCCTGCTTTCCCTGCTTTCCCTTCTTCAGGATCCTGTGTGAGACCAGCATCCGTGGCCTGACCTGGCCCAGCCGGGCCTGACCTGCCTGCCTGCTGGACTTTCGGGGACTCCCACACCCCACCCTGCTGCCCAACTCTGGGGAAGCTACTTTAGCATGATGGGACCCTCCAGGGACCCAGGCAGCTTGATCAACCCAACAACGTGGAACTGTGCATCCCACGGTCCCGGGGCCACAGTCCACAATCAGCTGGTCATGACTGTCTGCAACGTGTTCTCCTGCTTAGTCCTGGGCTCGCTGTGGTCTAGACGGAGAGGAAGAGGAAGCTGTGGGTCAGCAGATGGGTGGCAGTCCTGGCCAGAGGCCTAAGAGCCCTCACTGTCCTCTGGAGGACTCCCCAAGGCTTCCTATCCACAGAGCCACTGCTCCGTGCAGGCCCTGACCCCCATGACAGGTGCCTGGAGAGAGGACCCAGGATTGAAACCTGGTCTGACAGGGGTCTGTGGAGCTCAGCAGGAGCACCCACGGGGGGGGGGCTCAGGAGGGAGCATCCACCTGGGGCTTGCTCCTGGCTCTCCCTGAAGAGACAGTCTTGGGCCTTCCTCAATGTCACAGTCAGGGCTGGCCCTGTGGCCAAGTGGCTAAGATCATATGCTCCGCTTCAGCAGCCTGGGGTTCCCCAGTTTGGATCCTGGGTGCGGACCTACACACCACTCATCAAGCCATGCCGTGGCGGCATCCCACATAGAAGAACTAGAATGATTTACAACTAGGATATACAATGATGTGCTGGGGCTTTGGGGGGGAAGAAAAATAAAAGAAGAAGATTGGCAACAGATGTTAGCTCAAGGCCAAGCTTCCTAATCAAAAAGTCTACCTTAAAAAAAAACCCAAAAAACTATGCCTTTACCTTCATATCATATCTGTAATTGGTAGATTATATATTTTTTTAAAAATGTGGCTGTGGATGACTCCTCAAGTCGTCTCCTCAGAAGATGCCCGTGCCTTCTCAGGCCTCCCGCAGCCCTGTCCCCTGCCTGCGCCTGTACTTGATCATTTGCACTGCGTGCCTTTGTTTTTTCACGAAAGCAGGGACCACGGCAGCCGCCACAGCCCCAGGCTCACACGCCCAGCGCACTTGTCGGGGAAGGGAAACCAGGACTATGGATAGATACAGAGAAGCCAGGCCAGCAAGGCCCGCCTTGTCTTCCTGCCAAACTCCAACCCCTGGCGAAGAAAGGCATAGAACTTGCGATGGTGACAGCGTGTTAAACCATCTGACCGAACACTTAAGGTTTGTGCGCTTCCCCTGAGTTACACAGCGACAAAAACTAGGCTCAAGCAGAGGCCGGCCATCTGCACGCCTGGAAGGGGAGGTCTTGGCAGCGTCAAAGCTGCTCGTCAATCAACACCCCCGCCTCCCACTCCCCAAGGGTGCACGAAGATGGCAGCAAGGGAGCA